AGGTCATTCGTCAGTCTTGCTCAAAGTGTCCCTCGAGTCGCTATGGCTCATGGAAGGACCCTAGGGTAATACTCATAAGTTTGGAGGAGCCCTTTTTGCTCTAAACGGTGACCGTACTCCATGCATATCTACCTACTGAGCTCTAATCAATAGATTCTCCCTAATGGTGTTGGGCAACATTTACTTGTTCCTAAGATCAATAAACTACCTATCACCACACACATTCCAAGCTGGAACAATAACTACCTACTCATGTACCCTCATCGAGTTAGAACAGTAAAATTACCTGTCGTTATGCCCTTTCCAGGCTGAGACAGTAAACTACCTGCTCATGTACCCTCATTAGGTTAGAACAGTAAAACTACCTATCTTAGGAACAGTAACTATCTGTTACTTTGCCTTTTCAGGCAAGAACAGTAAAACTACCTATCAATACGCCACTCAGGCTGGATCAGTAAAACGGTCATGGCTCTCCCCACTAGGCACCACCGATATGAACTACAGTAGTATACTATCTATGGCTACTGATATCCTATATGGGTGATAACTAAGCCATGTGTAACAAGTAGACCATAACCAATGTTGGTTAATTCACGGATAAAGGTTGCGCCCTATCCATCCCTACAAGGTAGGTGGTCAACCCAAGGAGGCTATGGAACTCATGACTAGGAACTAGGACCAAAATACATGAAACAGTAACTCATAGTGGTAATTATAATTAGTGCTCTATGGCACATATCAATTAGTCCAACTCATGACTGGGCAATAAAGGGCTATCCAAACCCTAAAACATGCCTAATAATATATAAAGGCATACAACATACTCGTCATGCTCATTACATGATAATAATCCAACCTCAGCATTCTGGAAAACATAAAAGCCTAATGGTCAATCAGAGCTCACAAATCATGCATGCGGAAGCAATATAACTATAAATAGGACTAAGTTGTAAACTATTCACATTATCTCAGCAAAGTTATCATGAGATTAGGTTAAACTAAGCTCCTAAACATAATACTCAATCATCGTCCACAATCTTAATCGACTCTTACAAGTATTTCTTAGAAACTTGTTCCATATGGTTACTTACTTGATTGTAGACTTCCTGAACTTGTCTTGGGTCTTCAAGGGTATTCCAAATTTCTCCAAAATTTCTCAATATGCCCTAAATTAAGTCAAAACAATAAAACTGATGAAAATGGCTCACTACAAATTCGTTAAAGCGAAGGTTGAGAAGTTAATCATTGACTGTACGGTCATCTTCTCCAACTTGCATGCGTGTCATTTTTCCTTCTTTCCATTCTTTTTTTTTTTTTTTTTGAAAAAAAAAATCTTTTATTTATTTTCTTAAAATTCCCGGTGTTACAACAAGCAAGGGAACATAGTATTAAAAAGACTCTTAAAGTAAGTATTTGAGTCATCCCCCACGCTCATAGCACTTCACAAACTTGGATAAAAAAAGGAAAACCAAAAGTGGTAGCTTTCCAATGATTTGTGTATGTCTTTAGATCCAAAAAAATTGGGAGCCATATTTGGTCATAATAACCCATGCCACAAAACACTAACCTCCAAAGGGAAAGGTGACAATCAAGCCAACAATGCCTTGCACAATCTCAATTTACCTCTGCCCAAACCCGCAAGATCCAACAACCTTGACATCACCTATGTGACGCTCGAATAAACGAGAAGTACATGAATGAACAGAGACCATATTCAAATGAGAGTGATCCTAAGGATATGATGGTTAAGAAATGTTTAAAACAATTAATAATTACTACATGTATCAATAAGGTAGACATTCCTTTTTGGTAGCTCAATCCTAAGAATTCTAAAGTTAAGTGTGCTTAGCTTGGAGCAATCTTATGTTAGGTGACCTCCTGGTAATTCCAAAAAAGCATGCTAAAAGGACTACTGTTGGGCTGTAGGGATAGTCCTCACTCTTAGAAGTAATTCAAGACAAATAGGTAACATGCTCACTCACAAGGGATGTAAGGGAATACCGAGGCCATTAGGTGTCAATCCGAATTTCAAATTCTATTCCAAATCATGGGTATGAAGCATTACAAATGGTATCAGAGTGGAATCTCTCTATATATAATGTGGTTTAGGGATGAACCAAGACGGAAGTTGGTGGGTATGTGATGTTTGAGTAAAGGAAGAGTACATGAATGAATCAAGACCACATCTAAATGAATGTGATTTTGAGAAAAGCCTCAAAGAATTTATAGTTACTACCTATACCAACAATGTTCACCTTCTTTTTTCGTTGCCTCAATCAAAGAACCTCCAAAGCTAAGTGTGCTTAGTTTGGAGCAATCCTATGTTGGGTGATTTCCAGAAAATTTTCCTAATAAACAAGTGAGTTAGGATAAACTATACTAAAAGGACATGTGTTAGTATGTGGGGATAGTTTTCACTCTTAGAATTACTTCAAAACAAGTAGATAATGTGGTCATGTCACACGGGAATATCAAGATCATTAAGTGTCGAATCCAAATTCCAAATTCCAAATTCCAAATTCCAAATTCCAAATTCCAAATTCTAGTCTAAATTATGGAGATGAGATGTACAACCTCCCACTTGATTAAATGAGATCCCACCATCATCAACACCTTCCCACATAAAAAGTCGCTTATAATCATTATTTTAAATTGATGGGAGATTTCAATTACGGCAGGGAGAAACATAAGAGGTTCAAAGATCTAAATAGTATTTAGTAAATATTGTAAACACCCATGAGATTTTATCACCAAATATTGTCCACAGTGATGACTGAAGCAACTTTCAAACCCCTTGAGTATTTAATGAATCCCTCAAAACACAATTTCAAAAAATTTACAACCTAAATTCCAAGGACTTCTCGATCAGAAGATGTTGGGACGATTCTGGCATGAACACAAATCTTTACTTGAGTAACAATGCGTATTAAAGCATCCAAAATCCAGAAATACTAACACAACGTACTAGAGTTTCATCGATTCCATAATTCATTCTAAGACAACGGGGATAAAAGACAAGAAGTCTCAATTTCCATAGAACAACAAAAATACTTCAACCTTTGAAAGAAAGAAAAAGACGAGATACGAACCCGAAGAAGAGAAAATGAGATCACAGTGGCCGTCGCCATCGCCATCGCCATCGCCGTCCGAGTCCGTGGATAAAGAGGCATCACTGGAACGACTGGAAGAAGAATGGGGAGATTGTGGGGTGATTTCCAAGCGATGCATGGAATTTGGCAGGGGATTGATCGGGGGAGATTGTGGGGCGGTTTCCAAGTGCTCCATGGAATTTGGCAGGGGATTGATCGGGAAGAAAATGAGATTAAAACTTTCGAAGAAGGAATGATCGGAATAATTGGGAAAGTGAGAGAAGTTCAAAGGTGGGTAAATGGAGTAGGTCAATCGAGTATCAATTAGAAGACAAACAAAAGCGAACGGAAGAACATTGGGCCATGGAGATTTTGGAGATGCGACTGTCAACAACGGCGATCAAACCCGCCAGCGAAGATGACAGTTAACCAACTTGCCAAATGTCCTGGTTCGATGCCTTTGTGGCTTTCCCCTTTTCTATTAAGTTCTTAATTTCGTGGTCATTTTTTATTTTTTATTTTTTATTTTTTATTTGAATGAGGTTTTTGGTACTAAATTACTCAACCTTAAAAATGTGACTGTAATATGATCTCCAACCTGTCTCGGAACTGTTTTTGACATAATTGAAAGCGTTTGAGGTTAACATGACTACTGTTTAGTTAGTTAAATTTATTTTTAAGACAAATGTATATTTAGTCAATAACGTTAGATGTCCTAAATCATTTATTTTGTCTTGTCTTGATGTCGTGGACCCACCTATGGTCTAGACCTAGTAGCTCTATTGTTGACTTGATTGGACGAATTGTATGATGTATAATGACGTGTGCCTCGTGGTCCCCACACTTGTCATGATTATAATATGTCATGTTATAAGTTATGCTATAATGTGATTATGTCATGTTGTGGAATCATGTTTTTGATATGGATAATTTCTGATGCATAAACGTTCATACACTACGTCATGTAAGTTATGTTAAGTATGAAAGATTTGACAACAATTATGCAGGCATGTTTCACCGGCTTGTCATGTTATGAATAAATGAAGGTTTGACTAGCATTATAAACTTATGTCGTGATTTTAAATTATGGAGACCTCATGCATTTTGTGTGTCATATGTATCGGATACTTCTCCATTATGATTAGTATGAATCCGTACCTTACGACTTTGTCACAATTGCACTTGATGGTACCGGACTTACGATTGTGCGGTACTCATTTTCCAACGATAAGTGGGCTAAGCCAATTCATTCTTACGTCACCTACGGCCAAGCAATGTATGCTTGAGCCTCTGGTCTCGATTTAAGAAAAGGTTTTAGAAAACGAGGGCAGAGAGAGATTTTCAAAAGAGACGTTATATAAGCAAGCAAGAGAGTAACAACAACGGCCCACAGTATATAACCTTGGGTAATCTCGGTACCATAAATGCTCATAATTACTTGTAGAGTCTGTATTCAACTTTGAATAGAAAAATTAGTTCTCTACATACCCATCGTTGATCAAGATAATTCTAATCTAATCCTTCCCTCGAGATTGAAACTGAATTGATTTAAAAAAATGAGTCGTATTTGAAAATTACAGATTCACATAACCCTTATCGAATTCTTTCCTCGGGATTAAAATACGTAATGCAATAGAAACAAAGTTGAGAATTCTCGTATGAAGAGGAGATATTTCTTCAAGCAGATATAATACGTACATATCTCAAGTTCTTTCTTTTTTGTACATAGATATCACTAAGTACATAACTAGCTAGGGGTATGGGTATTATAGCATACATACGAGTAATATACATGGTTCTCTTTAAGCTCTTTTTAATATCAAAATCTCTATTATCGGTCACCACCAATGAACAATCGGTGGAAAATCACACCCTCCTTTTTATAAACATACATTTGATGATATCCATATTTCAAACTGGAACCGCCTCCCATGGCTTAGACAATGAAGTTGCAGGTGAGGTCATTTGTTGCTTTGCCACCTGCCCTCCAAATATAATATCACAACAATCAGTGATGGTTCAAACACTACCGTCTATTTGATTGTTTGTTGGTAAAAAAAACGAGAAAGTGAAAACCATATTTTAAAATTTTGGAACATTACTCAAAATAATTATGACGCTTGTGAAGGTTTAGTAAACCGTTCATTTCTTTGTTCAACTGATTTAAGTAAATATTCTCGATCACGAGCTTCGAATCTACTTACCTTGTTGGCATGTGTGTTGTGCCAGACTTTGTCCATTTCCTCAAAAACAATGTCAATGGTGGGTCGACCCTTGCTTGATTTGGCTACACAAAGAACAGCAACTTGTAAAATGGATTCAAAGTCTGCTTTGTTTACGTCTTCTTTTAGTCTTGGATCTTCAAAATCACTCAATGGTCGTAACCCCATGTTTACATCCTTAGCCTGCAATGAAATTTCCATACAAGTTAGGATATTCTCGGAATAATCACGTTAGAAATTGAGATATGTGAGCGTTTATCCAAATCAAACAAACCAACTATTCGAAAACTAAACCCATCATGAAAAAGTTCTAACCAATCGAGCTAGCTTGACTCGATCCTTTTTAGGGTTTACAGTTCTATCAGACTTTGCCAAATCCCGACTAGGTTTTTGCATGTGGCTTTACCATCGTATACCGTTCGATCGTATTTAGAAAGAAAAACCCTAAAAATTTCAACGACCCTGATCACAATATATACGATAAACTTAAGAAACCGAAGTGCATACCTTTCTTGTTAATTGATCTCTTGCATCAAGATCCAAATCAATGACCTTTTGACCTGATAGAAGCTGAAGAGCCACAATGCCAAAACTATAGATATCACTTGCACAAGTGAGCTTGGCATTGCTCATGTATTCAGGGTCCATATACCCTATGGTTCCCCTAACATCTGTGAACACTTTGGTCTCATCCATTCCCAACATCCTTGCCAACCCAAAATCCGACAATTTCCCGTCTAATTTCTCAGTCAAAAGTATGTTCGTGAGCTGAAAAAGTCGTACATATCGTTAATAAATACACTATAGAAATCATAAATTGTCCCGTGTTTGATAATCATTTTGGGTTCGTTTGATAATCACGTTACGTTCGTTAACGCACGTGGAGTGGTCTTTTATGCTAATGAAATTAAGGTTGTACCTTAATGTCTCTATGGACAATGCAGCCATCTGCACGTTGATGAAGATACCTTAGTGCAAGGGCACACTGTCTTAAAATCTTTACTCTTGTTTCCCATGATAGTAATGTATCTTTTCCTGAAAAATATCATCACATTTTGAAAATATAAGCTCAACATGGACCGACGTAATATCTCGAAATTCACTAATTAGGGTTTAGGGTTTGGTTGTACGTCTCTAGGGTTTAATGATTTTACACATTTATCCTTCTAAATCATATTAGTTAAAAAAACACAAATAATGTGTAGCAGACAAAATCCACTACTAGTAGATATTGTCTACTTTAGTTTGTTACTTATCGTCGTCATCCTTACGGTTTTAAAATCCGTCTATTAGGGAGAGGTTTCCACACTCTTAAGAAATGCTTCGTTCCCCTCTGGATGTGGGATTTCACAATCCACTCCCTTGGGGGCTAGTGTCCTCGCTGGCACACCTAACGTGGCTCTAATATCAGTTGTAACAGCTTAAGCCCACTGTTAGAAGATATTGTCTGCTTTGGTCTGTTACGTATCGCCATCAGCCTCACGGTTTTAAAACCCGTCTACTAGGGAGAGGTTTCCACACCTTTAAGAAATGTTTCATTCCTCTCTCCAACCGACGTGAGATTTCACAACCTACCCCCTTGGGGGCCAACGTCCTCGTTGGCACACCTCCAAGTAACCTGACTCTAATACCATTTGTAATAGCTCAAGCCCACTACTAACAGATATTGTCCACTTTAGTCCGTTACATATCGCCGTCAACCTTACAGTTTTAAAACGCGTCTACTCGAGAGAGATTTCCACACTTTTAAAAAATGCTTCGTTTTCTTCTCCAACCGACGTGGGGATCTCACGTAATCAAATAATTAACAAAATAAAAGAAGAGAATAGAAAAGGGAAAGTAATATTTACTCATGAGATGCTGAGCCAGGTTGCCTTGCTCACAATACTCATACACAAGATATTGCTCCCCATTCTCAATGCAACATCCCAAGAGGCACACCAAATTGGGATGCCTAACCCTAGACAGCCCATCAACTTCTCTAATGAATGAATCTGAAGTGTTGCTTTGAAATATCTTCTTGATCGCTACTAGCTGTCCGCTCGGTAGCATACCCTTGTACACTTGCCCGGCACTACCCCGACCTAGACTCGTCCTCTCGTTCCCGAAGTCGAGTGCCTTATTGATCTCATCCTTTGTAAACCGGTATAGTCCCGACCATATCGATGTGTCATTCGAGGCACATGGTTTGGTTTTCTTGTTCTTCTTGGTTGCATGCTTTACTAGAAGGACAATGAGTAGTAGAACTAGCACACCTACTATGGCAGATACTAAGGCCTTCGCTACCGAATCTATTGATACGAAATCGTACAAATTATTCGATAGATTAAAACAATGAAATATGTTATATCTTAATTTAATATGAATCCGAGAATAATGTCGGAACTCTTACCTTTGATTTTGAAGTAGCCAGAAACTGGTACAAGCCAAAACATAAAAAACAAGATTAGAAGCTTTGAAGGTATAAAATTATTTTAAAGCATTCCTTGTAAATATCAAAATTTTAAAAAGAGATTACTATATGTATTATTTTAATTTTAAACTAAAATCACTCTTAAATTTGGAGCAAAAAAAATAAATAAATAAATTATTTAAAAGTTTTTAAAAATTAAATTTTTTGAAAGTTAAAAAAAAAAAAAAACATAAATATCCTTAAAATTTTAATTTTGGATTTCAAATATTTTTTAACTTTGTAAAAATAGTTTTAAAAATACTTTTAAAAGTTTGATTAATATGGTTCGATTTTTTAAAAAGTTTAAAAATATTCTGTAATTTTCAAAAGTAACATTAATACCGCTAAATTCGTGGTGTCTGGTTAAAAGTTAAGGGTGCTCGTAATAATTTTAAAATTTTATAGGTTATTTTTAGATATTGTACTAAGGGTATTTTTTTAAAAAAATTAATTTTCACGAGTATTTTTTAAACAAAATACTAATAGTTTTTCTACAAAATTTATTACAAAAATGGTATCAACGAGCGGTGTGACAGCGTGGACGCTGACTCCTGAATGAGTGGATTGTGAGATTCCACATCGGTTGTAGAGGAAAACTAAACATTCTCTACGAGGTGTAAAAACTTCTCTATCTAACGGGCCAACAAGTCAAAATGGACAATTTCCGGTAGGAGTTGGGTTAGACTATTTTTTAAAACTTAAAATTTTTTAAGGAAATTTAAGAAAAAACATAATTAATAACTTACTCAATGTGTCGGAAGCAGACAAGCATTGAAAAATGGCATCAAAATCAGTCGAATTCCCAATCCTCCCGGCGGCAACCGCCACAACGGCGGAAAACCCAATAGCAGCATTCTCATTCTTATCCTCCCTCCGAATCCCAAACTCATCCATCACCGCCCCACGCACCGCCGCCACAGCCGTCACACATCCACTGCACACCCCATCGAACCCTCCGCCGTCAAACCCTGAGCAGTTCCGAACGGCCGCCTCGTACACCTTGCTCTGGAGGAGTGTTGGCAGGTAGAGGAGCGTGGAGAAGTGGCTGCCGCCGGCGAACATGTTCTGTAGGCCGCAGCCTTGGAGGGAGACGGAGGGCTGGCGTGAGAAGGGGCCTGTGCAGTTGGCCCATTGCGGCTGTGGGAGGAACAGGGTTGTTGGTGTTGCTGTGGCATTGATGTTGAGAGCTAAGGCCTTGGCCGCTGCGGTGAGGGCGTTGCGGCAACACCGGGTTGTGTAGATCGCGTCCCAGAGATATAGCCTGTCGTCGTCCTCGCTTGTACATATGCCTGTTGGCTCGTAGGGGAATGTGTTGAAGTCCAAGATGCAATTGCCTAGGGAAAAGCCATAACGGTACGATGAAAACATGATGTTTGCTCAAACATTCAATACAGACATCATAACGTACGATGAAACCATGATGTTTGACCAAACGTAAGATGAAATTTTAGCCATTATTCAATGCAAACACCATAACGCACGATGAAACCATGTTGTTGCTCAAATATTCAATACAGACATCATAACGTACGATGAAACCATGATGTTTGATCAAACGTAAGATGAAATTTCAGCCATTATTCAATGCAAACGCCATAACGCACGATGAAACCATGATGTTTGCCAATACAGACATCATAACGTACGAGGAAACCATGATCTTTGCTCAAACGTAAGATGAAATTTTAGCCATTATTCAATGCAAACGTCATAACATACGATGAAATTATGATGTTTGCTCAAACATACAACGAAATTTTAGTCATTATTCAATGCAAACACGATAACGTACGATGAAACCATGATGTTTGCTCAAAAGTACAATGAAATTTTAGTCATTATTCAATGCATACGTCATAACGATGAAACCATAATGTTTACTCCAAACGTACGATGAAATTTTAGCCATTACTCAAAACATATACACCATAACGTACGATGCAACTATGATGTCTGCTCAAACGTACAATGAAATTTTAGTCTTTATTCAATGCAAACGCCATAACCTACGACGAAACAAGCCTACTTCATATTACCGTTAATACATCATTAAAAATAGCATGAAGCAAACATATCAACTCGATAATTCAACTCGTTTAAGGTAATCTTCATTAATAAAAAAATCTACAAAATTAGAACAAAAAGGGACAATACAAAGAGATAAAAGAAGAAGAAAGAGATTCTTACTCAATGGATCATCGGGCGAGTATTGCAAAACTGAATTAAGCGGAGAAACCTGAAGAACGACGATCGTAACGAATAAACCAACCTTTAAAGAACGAAAGAACCTAACTCTCATGCTTCAAATATAGCCTAAGAAACTTTATTATTACTATTTTTCATTTTTTTTTTTTCAAGAAATGAGGATGGGAAGAGTTATTTATAGCATAGAGAGGTCTATAGTTAATATCGAGGAATTAAAGTGAGTATTAATAGGCATATTCTTAATATTGTCTTTTAACTTAAAAGCTGGCTATTATTAATAATGGCATTGAAATTATCAATATCATGTCATTCAATGATTTGCTTTGTCAAATGATTTAGGTTTAATTGATTTCTTTCACCCAATTAATGTTTAGGATGGTTCTATATGTTCTTCGTTTCTTAATTTTTTTTTTTTTTTTTTTTTTTTTTTTTTTT